GCCTCGTATTTTTGTTGTACTACTTTTAACTCAAACTTCAGATTAAATTTATCTTACAAACAGATACGCAGTCACATTACAGACATACATACAGTCACACAGACAGACAGACAACAAAAATACGAGGCCCTTATTTATTTATTGATGTACTGATCTCTACTTACCACGTATAATTTATTAGTTATTAAAATATTGTAAAAACATAAACACCAGTCACTATATTTTAAAATAAACCAAAGCAAGAAATCACTTTCGTGGCCTAAAATCACCTTCGTGTATAAAACACCACGAAGGTGATGCCACGAAGGTGACGAAAATTTTAGTTTTTTATTCATTATCCCTAAATTTGAGTTTAACGGTTCAAGTCGAATACTACACAAATAAGTCTAACATGTTAAGTTTTCAATGGCCTAAGTTTCAATTAAATTGTTTAAATTTTAGAGGTAGAAAATATTGATCAAGCAAGCGACGGAATATCTATGGATAATCACAAAAAGTTACGTATTTTTTTCGCGGAGCGATGATCGACTTATCTCACCTCCGCAATGGCAGGAGCGCGACTGACGTTAATCGAATAGAACACAGTGATTGGTTGATGGTGTTCGGTTTAACGGCAATCTTGTATGATTACTCAAAATTTTAGGTACCTAAAATCGTGTGACCAACGCATTTTCCTTCCTCAATTCGAAATAATTATAAGAAGATATTATTTTGACTATTGTGTGGAAAGTATATTTAATTACGATGATTTTAGTATATGCTACACACAAATTGAATGAAAATTGTGAATGCAGTAACCAAATGTTTCATTGCAACCGAAGGTGTGACACGATGAGAACGCGAAAAATGACCCCGTTTTGTATCGTTTCATGTGATGTTTTCGTATTATTTTTGCTTCTATTACGATAAAATTTAATTTGTATGTAGCTAAATAGATATGTTATCACCTGATTTCAAAGTTATTGTTCTAACTTATACCGTTTATGAACTATTATTGTGTGACCATCAAATTTGAGTGTAAATGAGAAGTACCCATACGCTGTCTGCTATGACGTCTTGCGTAGTCGAGCTGACAAGTGCTTTATTATGCAGAACAAGGAAGGTATTTGACCACAATCTCGCCTGATATTATGTGAAAGGCACAATTCACTCACGTCTTGAAAAATCCCAGATTACCTACGGTGTTCGGGAACAACAGCAGTAGGCAGCGAAAGAAGTTTTCTGTCTCGCTTGCAGACGTTAAAAACTGTGTCTCGATACTCTCGATATTTTAAACTTGAATGTTAATGTGTGTTTGTGTTATATATTTCATTAATTCAATTACATATGTTTGCCTCAATTTTCTTTGAGCGACCTATAACAAAACACCATCGACCTTTTGCGATTTTATTTCGCGCCGTGGACTAACAAACTAATTCCCTTCTAATTGATTGATCGTCATTTGTTTTAGTTCGCAGTAAATATCTAAAGAGCAATTTGTTCTGATGCACGTAGACGAAGTAATTAAACGTCAGTTAATTAAGTTAGTTGCATCGATTCGATCTCTTTTGTGTGCGTATTTCTTTAACGGTCACAGGCGGGGGTAAACATGAGTGTGTATGCTTTTGTACAAATGATTTTGTAAAATTTACTCTTTACAATAATTTCGACTTCCAGACGCGTGCGTAATTTCGAACTCCTCCTATGTCCTTCTGATTAATTTCGTTGCGGGTCCAATGACAGTTTAACTTTCCCCCGCGGCCCCGGGACAAACTTGACCTTCATTGGTTGGGTTTTTATGGCGGTCAAGCTGTGGATCCTGGCTACACAGGAGTTGCAGTGGTGGGAACGAGAGGTGGGAATAGTCCCGTTCCAGATGCGTTCCCCTTACCAAAACCTACCTTAGGGCGGATCCCATATATTGATAAATGTTTTTGCAAGATTTCGTTTAGTAGCGTACCTAGACCTACTAACGTTCACACGAACATCCCTTTGCAGGGTCCCGTAAAAAAACTGATCCGTAACAACTGGATTGCCGTTTGAATGAGACCGTTGATATGTGTGGGTATACTTACAAAACCGCAATCCCCGATCGCGTAGAGACAATGCGATTTGCGTCAGAAGCGCGTTGGCCAGCCAAGAACTATTTATCTTGACGAAAGCAAATAGCTCTACTAGATGTGACTAAGTTTGGGTCTCAAATTACTACAACACAAAGATTAGTTAGTCCCGGTTTCCACCAAGGCAGAGTGGACCAGACAAGTTTTTTGAATAACCAATCAGATTCCATTATTCGCACATCTCCGCTTCGCTTCGCTTCGGTGGAAATGGATCGAGCGGGTAAGCAATGTTTGTGATATGGGTGCTAACTTAACGGATATACTACTTACACTTTTCTAATAGGTACATTATGTATTATTACATAGTAGGTAACATCCAGACCCGTCACAGAAATTAAAATTCATCATTTCAATTTCTACCCCACCGGGAATCGAACCCCGGACATTGCGGCACATTGACCACTATACCAGGTCTTCGAAATATATTTTTCATAGAAATGCTCGACTTTGCACTTTTGCAGCACGTTGTTTGTTCCTTCTAGAATCTTTACATCTGTGTTCCTCTGCACTCCTCACACTTCACACCGAATTTCAAGAATTCCCGAACATCGAAATCCTTTCGTCACTATTAACAGCGTCACAAGGCTCAAAATAGCGCAGTAACGTAACCCGCAAATAGTTTACACTGTCAGCTGTGGACGCTTATCAAAACACTCTTTTAATAGAACTCTTAAATGCTTAAGTTTTTCAATAAAAATCTATTAGTGACCGCCATTCATTGAAAATTTTATTGTTATTGTCTGTAGCAAGAGAAGTAGCAATTTCCATTAGGAATTAAATTATATGACTTTATTCAATTTTCACCAAGATTTGGAATTTGTGGATATGAATAAAGGCATTTTAAATTGATATAGGTTTTTTTTTATAAGTAAGTGCTATTGGAATGCACTTGCAATTAAGTTATGTATTTTTTTAATAGTCCTGACTCCGCCTTTGGCGTAATCGCATTTACGTCAAGTGTTACAAATAAATTAATGCAAAAAGGCTTTTATTTGATTTTTTTATTGGCTCACGTGGATAATTTGCTTCGAGAAAAATACGTACTTACACACAGTTAACTACAAAGCTTAATAGACATAATGGTACACGAAAATAAGTCTTAACCTTTAAAAATTAAGATATGTGCACGCACGAATTAGATTTTCAATATTTTTTTCACGAAAAATACCGTGATTAAAAATAACTAAGACACAATTCAACTTATTGTTAAATTGCTCTAGAGCTTATTAAAAAAATGGATACTGATTACAAAATCACCTTGTATACCTACTGGTAGTTATCATGGTACTATATTTTTAAGCAATGTTTTATTTGTGGCCATGCATGCGAAAAATAATGATAAATAAAGATTCCTTAAATAATGATTCGTTCGATGATTATAAAATCAAAAACTGAGACGCTTTTCTAATTTTTATTACAAAATTAAATTATTTTTACATACTAAAATTACAATATAAGCAAAATATAATATAATATTCTTATTATACTTCAACATAAATTAAAGATAATTAATATTTATATACTTACTTATATACTTAGAAAAGATCACACTGACTAGATTGCCACACCCCTTGTCTGTTTCCATAAATTGCTATTTTATAGTTACATTATTTTAAGACCTGTATAGTTTATTTCTGAATATCTTTTAAACTATAACTTCAATATAAAAAAGAAAGAGATCATAGTGTTACAGTTAGTTGTATGTTTTTATTTCCAATATACTGCATAAATACTTATTAGATGTAAGAATAATGTTACTATAAAATAACAATCGTTTTGTTGTATCATTAATTTTGTTAATCACGAAAACCATATTTTGGGAATATCACAAAAATGCCACTCGAGGAATTTAGTATAGTTAAAAACCGATAACTGGTCGATATGGGTATTTTACAGTTAAATAAGCAATAAATACATAAAATATATAAAGAAATCATATACGAATAGTTAGTACAAATAAAATATATAGGAGTCTATATAAAAAGTGTCATAAACATTTTATTGTCTTTGTATAAATATTTATCATACACATAATAAACATAAAAGGGTCAACTCATATAAGATATTGTAACCTACTTTTTACGATTGTAGATTTGTGTTAGTCAGCTGAATATATAAATAAATATATACAACATATATTATACTTAAATAAATAATTGGTAACACCACTATGTAACTAAATAGCTATCTTAACTTACTCACAAATATAAATAAATAAATAAAATGTAATATTTTACTAATTTAACTACTAATTTCTTTGGTAAATAGCCGTACAGTGATTATAATCACAAATAAAAAGCAAAATCTTGGTTTTCCGCCATTGATTTCGTTTTTATATACAATAAAATCTACTTATATTTAGTATACAATTTATGTATTTGTAATACAATGTATTACAAATACATATTGTTATTCGTTATTATGTTAATTAAAAAGCCAATTAAATACTATAATTTAATTACTGTATGATAGGTACCTACCATTGTTAATATCGGTGATAAATAAAAATAAATCTATGTAAAACAACAGTTTTAAATAAAAATATTATCGCTACATCTCGTTTTTTGATCTCATTTTTATTAAAGAAAAATAAATTAATTTATTTTACTTAATTACAAAAATAACATATTTCGTCTCGCACCATATTAATATGAAACGTAATACCAATTATTTAGTCATTATTCGAATCGTATGTATAACTTTATTGTTTAACACATGTAATACTTATTAACTTAATATTAATAATAACTATAACACAGAACACGGAAAATATTGTTTAAGACATTTGAGTTTGAATTTTAAGTTATTTTTTAATAAAATACTAATTTCCTGTACATAGACGATAACAAGATTATTTAGTAGACAGGAATCAGCACATTGTTTTTTTTTTATTTTTAAATAAGAATTCAGTAGTTTTTGGTGAGATTCCTATTTTTTAAATAAAACATCGTTACCGCATTACAGTATTGTTAACATACATTGCTATATTAAGATGTCGTATACGTTTCAATATAGCTTAATTGTAACCATATTAACGTTATTATTAGCCAAATCAACAACCATTAGTGTTCATTAAGCAAATATTAATTTACAATATAAACATAATGCAGTTATACCACTTTAGTAAAACCATATAAAGAGGTTAGTTGTTACTACACTATTCCTATACATTTTTTGTTATAAGTCCGTAAATCCATGGTGGTCTTCCATAGTCTGGATGTCGTCCTGGTCCTGGGTGCCTGTGATGATCTGGAGAACCTTGAAGGCCTTCGACTGCCGCGGGGGCCCGTCTTGGGTGAACTTGTGGTAGTAAACCCTGAAACGATAATATTACTACTATAATGATAGTAAAAAATTAAAAATAATATGGCGGTGATTGGATAAATATGAAAAGCAGAAAAAAATAAAAACGAAAAAAGATTTAACTGAAGTAACAGATACAATAGTTAGTACTTTCTTTAACATCATAAAAATTAATTGAAAAAACGCATGTCGCTGAAACGATTAAAAAAATCCAAAGAATGAAGTTTTTTCATAGACGTGGAAAATAAGTGATTAAATAGGCATCGTTATATTTATATGACTCCTGGCACTAAAACACTTCATGCAGAACCATAACGATCTTAATAATTTCGCTGTACGATTTAAAAATATCCAGTTATAGCACTGCTATGAGAATACCAACTGTTATTGCTTGCAACATGAGAACAGAAAGAAACTGTTGAGTTATACTTCATATTATGCAGTTTTATTGCACGGAACTGTACAAGCCTTTTTAATTAAGCTTAGTGTACATTTTAGAAGAACAACTACCACAATTAAATAGTTGGAACAATAGGTATTATGTTTTATGATCTTTTTAATTTTATTTTTAAACTTACTTTATTTCATTAATATTATAAAAGCCATAATATAAAATAGAAAAATAATGATGATAGACTAAAAGCTTCTAATAATTAAAATCTAATTTGTGTTATTTTGAGTCCATGTGTTAATATGACGTGAAAACCTTTTCATGACTTCAAAATTGATGCAACGAGTGTACATAAGCTTTATAAAGTATTTCATAAGCATAAAAACTTCACTCACGATAGTAATAAATCTAAAGGCATTTGTACCTTGTTATGTGATATTTCATGTTCTTTACTGTTCGTTAGTAACTGAGATAAGTATAATTATTATGAAAATGTTTAGATTACTGAATAATACCAATATCTACAGCACTATAACCTACACTAATTTAATAATATAAAGTAAGCTTTTTCATATTTCTGCCTTTGTCATTAAACAGGTTGAGTTTGTTCGTTAATCTAGAATCAGATATTAAAAATATTTTTTATAATATAGGTACTCATAGTACGTATTTATAATATTTTTACGTTGATTCGGAGTGAGATTACGATGATATTTTTGAATTTTGATATCTCATTATACTGACTGTGCTTTAACTTGACAACAAGTGAGAAAAAAATATGAGATGATAGAACACTAGAAACGAGAAACATGTCACGATTATTCATGAAGAAGTATCAAATCAAAAATTAGTAGAAAACATAACTGCCAATTACAACGCGAATGCTTCGATTAGTAAGAATAGAATTAGAAGTTGCGAAGCACGCTAAATATAAAGCAAGCATGACGCATCGCGGCGTGAAGCAATAAAAATGTGTTTACTTCGGCGCCCGCGCAGCTCCCTTAGTACCGCCCACCGAAGCTGAAACGTGTGAAAATTTTACATATAAAATGTGTAGCTGTGCCATGCCATTGGAAAATTGTACATATAGCTGTGCTGTGTGCACCCACAATGTTATTGGAATACGACCATTAAAACCTTTAAATACAGACTTCTTAGAATTTATGGATCAATGTTGATTCCACTTTCGCAATGAATAATAATTTGCAATTAAGGTATTGTAATATTGTGTAAAATCAAAGATACATAATAATATTAATATGTTAAAAATAAATAAATAATTGGATAGGAAACAAACAACTCGATAGTATAATGTAACTTAATTGTAGTCAGTTCATTTAACTTTCTTTGAAGAGCTTTTTCCCAAGATTGTTGATTGTCAGGAAATAAACATTCGACTAAATTAAAAAAAATTAATTACCTTTTGTTTGCGCCGCCATTGCCACCACCTTCTATTTGAATAGGGATTATCCTTGTCTTGGGCTGGTTGTCCTGACTGGTTTGGAAGTTCCTATTCAGTGATGGAAGCTCATTCTGAGCTGGACCATCATCTAGTCTCACCAGCTGCGGGGATAAAACCCTCATGATACGCTGCGTAGGTGGAGAAAATGGCACTTGTGAACGGTTCTGATTCTGAGCGTTGGGATTCTGTTGCATATCAATCACAATCCTCAACTGAGGCTGCTGATGGTGACCTTGTCTTCCATCTCTTGTTTCCGTGCTCGACACTTCCATTTGTATAGGAATTACACGATTACCCTGGGAGCTAGGGCCAGTTTCCCTCGTCACACTCTTCCTATTTTCGGATGGTAGCGTAGACCATGTGGGCTGCGCTGTTTGCTGGTATTTGGGAGGACTGACCACTTCACGAGCATTCCTTTGCATCTCGTTACTCTTTTTCACCCATTCCGGCTCTTGGTTTGAGTCACGAGGAGGAGTGGCTAGTTCACGGGGTATACTTCTCCTGCCGTCCAAGGGTCTTTGAACCCAAACTGGAGGAGGAGTCTTAGTCTTTTCTTTTTGTGTTTTTACCCATGGTGGCACTGACTTCGGACTATCGGGGCAGAAGTACACTGGTTCCTGGTTAACGTAAACCACTTCTTTTTGAGGAGGAGTGTTGTTGTATTCAGGCTGTGGGTTCTGCCTCTTCGGTGTCACTGGTATAGACATTGTAGATTGATACCGTGGCTGTTCGGGCTGACTTGGCCTAGATGGAGGAGATGCAGGGCCTGTCCTTTCATAGTTTTGAGATCTCCACGGAGCATTGTAATTTTCTTGTTCCCTATTGTTATTTGCCTCCTGTGCTGCTGCAACCCATGGAGGTGTGTACTGTTGATTTGTAGCTTGATTACTTGTGTTTCTGTTTTCTTGTTTCCAAGGAGGAATGTAACTGTTATCATTATTATTATTAGAATCATTTGACTTCCACGGAGGAGTATACGTTGGCTGTTGATTCACGTTCGGACTATTGTGGTAGAGGTTTTGCACATTTTCAGGCTCACGTGGTTGTCTGTTAAGGGTATTGGATCGCCAAGGCGCTGGATCTACCTTAGGACTTGCTTCCCGAGTGTTATTATAAATAACATTATTGTTCTGATTGTTATTTACGAAATTGTCTTGATTTCTTTGACCAGCCCTAGGTAAAGTATGAAACTGAGGTCCACTGTTGGAAGATGGTGACTGGTTTTGATAATTTGGAGAGTGTTGTTGAGAAGCAGGAGAATATTGGCCTCGTTGGAATTGAGGTGAAAGTGGACTATTATTTACATTAGCTAGCGGCGAATCTCTCTTTTCAGGTTGCCTCCAGTTATTGTTAGGGCTAGGTGAATAAGTAGAACCGTTACTAAACGGTGACTGAGATGCAAAAGGCTGGGGACTTTTGTTGAACTGAGAATCTTGTCTTTGCAAGACCTCTCTCATAGGTGGCGAGCCATTGACATTGGGGGAATTAGATTTTTGGTGAGCATACTGTGCCTCTGGCTTGTGAAGGGGACTTTCAGGGGTGTGGTTACCATAATAATTCTGCCGGTTTTGTCCGGGTGGGGTATACGTTTGTGGCTGCTGCTGCGTGAAGGTAGACGGGGGCATTTTAACTGTAAGAGGGCTTGGAACTTTTTCTTGGAATTTGGGCACTTGTCCCATTCGTTGAAGTTCAGCTTTTTCAGCTTCCCAATGGTAAGGACTGTTCGTTTTTCTTAACATTCCAATGGGGTTCTCTGGAATCACAATTTCGGGTCGTTCACCAAGGGCGACTGGTTTTGGAGATTTGGATTGTGGTACGTCAATGACAATTGGGGGTGGAGGAGGGGGTGCGGGGATTTTAGATGGTGGAGGTGGTGGTGGTGGTGGAACTGGTCCCCCTGGTCCTCCTTGCGGATGGTAATTTCCACCACCGTATTGTGCATGAGCCTGTTCTTGGTCTTCCAAAGACCGTTGACGTGCCAGCCTCCTCGCCATACTTGGCGTGCGAATTTGTGAGAGGTCGAGACCTCCCGGTGTGTAAGTGAAAGGCTTCTTATCCTTCGTCATCATTGCGTTCTGGATGCATGCCGGTGGTTCGTTGTTCCCCATGGGCTGGAATTGAGAAAATATGATATTAATTTTTGGCCATAACATTTCAAAAACAATCCATTTCAACAACAATTATCATATGAAACAATTGCAAAACGAAGCGTTCTATGCTATTAAGAATAATGACTGTGTTTGCCTATTTTGTGCTGAACTCTCCAATTTTCTTTGGGCTTTCTTTTAACTAATAATGCAGGCGTTTGTTAGATTAAGCGAGAGACGCGATAGCGATTTTGATCGCGTAGGTACAGAGCGATAGATCTTTTTCTTGTGACAGATGGATATTACCTAGGACCTATAGACCTGAATCACTTGCAAAATAAAAAAAATACTCACATTGACCTGAGTTTTCCCGAAGTTTGGTATTGGGAGAGGGCACCACTGNATTTGCTTTTTGTGCGCAAGTTTTGTAAGAAATTGCAACAAAATATTGCGCTATTTTTTTATTGCGCTGATTCTGCTCCATACTGATGTCTGGAGCCTTTAATGGATGGTATTGTTTGTTTACAAATACAATCTCACTATTTTGTTGCAATTTCTTACAAAACTTTGCGCGCAAAAAGCAAATCTAGTATGAAAATCATCAAACTTGTAATGCTCGTAACTCAGTTCAGACTGAGTTTAGAGGTATACATGTCATAGTAAGTTTGGTTTGTTACACTATTTTGTAATAAAAAAACAAAGTTTGGTCGATGGCCGCGCGAATAAAAAAAGACGCCAATTTCTGGCATTGTCTTTTAATCTGAAGTTTGAGTTAAAAGTTGTACAACAATAATTAACTTTTAAAAAAAATAAAACCGACTTCAATTGCATGAACACAAAAAAAAACTAAAAATAAAAAATATTGCGTATAAAAATGTTCATCCCCAATTTTCCACCCTTGGGGGTGAAATATTTTCTTCAAATTCGCATGAAACCACCCTTTTGATAATACCTATTCAACAAAAAAATAATCGTTCAAATTGATTTATAATCGGCGGAGATATTGCGTATAAAAAAGTTCATCCCCAATTTTCCACCCTTGGGGGTTGTTTTTTCTGTTATTAAATTTAAATGGGACCACCCTTAACCTCGTAGCGCCCACGCGCCTTTTGAAAACCCAAAATAAACATGGCGACTACAGCCCAGAACTTTTTTCAACTAACTTTCAATTACCGCCCATGCGCCTTTCAGAAGGCCATATTATTAAACTTTGTCTAGATTTTTGAAATTTCGCGGCTTAAAGAAATAATTTAATTCGATTTCTGAACGAAATATTAGGGAACAGTTTCCGGTATGCTACCATTGGCTGTCACAATTGACAGATGGGATTTTTTGAAAAATGGCCGGCGGTATGGACGGCTCACTAACACGTAGTTAGTAAATCGCATTTTTTTATGATAATCCGTGGTTGTCGAGTATGTTTTTATGCAAAAAGTTGCTAACGAATAGGTATTACTTAAATAGAGATAATTACTTTGCATTTTTAGGGCAGAAATTCTGCGAAATCTTGGTTTGAAATAATATGTACTTTGTGAAGGCGGTTGGGTCGAAGCTAGTACTAAAAATATCATAATATTTTTAGTTTGTGGCTTTGTGTTATATTGGTTTATGGAATATTATTTAAGTAGGTACCTATTTATATTATGTTATTGCTATTTATCTATGAAAATAAGACAAAATATATGTTTTATAAACACTTAAGATTCATTTACAGTAGGAAAGTTTGAAAAAATTATTGCTGTGAAGTACAGAATCACTTTCGTGGCATCAAAAAATTCAAAACGTTAAAGCTTCCAAACGAGAGTCACTATTTGACTGATTTACTGGGAATACAATCTTCACATCAAGCGCTACAATTTTTGTTTACAAAAAGTTGAAATAAGTTAGAAATAAAATTCGCCACGAAGGTGACGATGAGAACCGTGGCGATGAGAAATACCCATTAGACATTGGTAGATCTTAGGTTTTACTGGAATATCTTAGGATTTACTGCAATTCGAGCTTTTACAGTAACATCTATACTATCTTTTGCCCACGATTTTGCCTGAGTAAATTTCGTTCTATTACAGATAGACTTCAACGCGCACATGCTCCCCTAAAGAGTGGGATACAAACTATCCGGTAATTGAGTCTCAAACTATCTTCAAAATCGGTTCCATGGTTTATGTGTTTTAAGCTTGAAAAGGTAAAGCAGATAATTTCTGATAGGTTAACGTTTTGGTACACAGCATCTTAAAGTAAAAGCTGTCGTATTTTATGTTAGATGTTCGTCAGAAAGAAAGAAAGAAAGAAAGATACATTTATTACAATGGACATCACACAAATACAGGCAATTACATAGACATGACAGTGGCACATAATAATAAAAGAAGAAAAAATAAAAACAAGAGTAAACTGAGCAGTGCCACCCATTCACCAACAAGATGCCCACTGCAACGGCACCCCACTCAGCATATGCCGTGGCCCACGGTGACGAAGGCCACGGCGCTGGTTTTCAGTGTGCCCCATGCCGAGTGAGGGTCACGGACCATTGGTAAAATAAATAAAATAGTATATATGTCATAGTCAAAGGTCGATATGCAGTCTCTTCGCGGAATGACTGGTTTATCCTAGGTTTGACCAAGGCCTTCAGGCAAACCCCGAAGTGATTTCTGATTTCGGCCTTTGACTAAGTCAAACCTAGAAGTGCCTAAACTGTTCAGTCAAACGTCGAAACTAAAATAATCTGCTTCGGGCTTTGCCTAGTCAATCCTAGAAACGACTGGCAGACTCGGTCAGAAGTAAACAGCAAATAGAAAACCGGCCAAGTGCGAGTCGGATTCGCTTACGAAGGGTTCCGTGCGACTCTGTTCTTGTATGGGAGCCCCCCTTTTAATATTTCTTTTATTTTAATTTTATGATTTATTTTTAAAGTAGATAATATGTGAATATTTCAAGGGTTCACCTGTTTACGTTTTAATTTAAATTCGAGCAAAAAACTGCAAAAAGTTTGCTGTATAGGAGCCTCCCTTAAATATGCACATAGAGTGTGTAAATATTCCCGAGTGCAGATTCTACAACACTATGACGTCGGAGCACAAGAGCAGGTGGATATGCCCAGAATGCGTCTGTAGCCAGCGGAAGGGGGGTGACAACACCGAGACGCCGGTCAAGTCCTCGGAGGTCAGCCATGTAACCACCCGTCGGGCGGCCGCGGCGGCCCGCACGGAGAGTCTGGACGAGACGGGGATGTCTCTGGATGATGACACCCAGACAGCGGAGGAACAGAGCATCGAGGAGAAGGTACTTCCGGCGACTGGCGGCGTCCAGCCAGCTCTGGTTTCGCTAAACGAGGCCGTCCGGAGCATGATGAGCGAGCTTCGCCAATTTAGGGAAGAAATGCGGGACGAAGTGAAAACCAGGCGAGCCGAGATCAAGTCTCTCAGGGACGGCTTGCTGCAGTTGTCGGAGAGGGTGGACAGCTGCAGGACTCACGTCGTCGGCCTGGACGAGCGAATGAAGGCGCTGGAGCTCAAGGCCAACCAGGGCGACGAGGCCAACGCGGCGCGTCTGGACGCGATCGAGCGACGACTGGAGGCGGCGGAGCGTCCGGGCCCGGCGGGCGAGGGCGCGGCGTCGGTCGCGGAGCTGGAGCGGACGGTCGCGGGACTCAGGCTCGAGCTGAACGACCGGGACCAGGAGGCCCTGCTCGCGGACCTCGAGATCGGCCAGCTCCCGGAGCAGAAGGGCGAGAACGTCCTGCACAGCGTCGCCGTGCTCGCCGCGCGCCTGGGCGTGCCGCTGGAGGAGCGCGACGTGGTGTTCGCGGAGCGCGTGGGCGCGCCGCCGGCCGAGGGCGCGCGGGCGCGGCGCGTGGTGGTGCGGCTGGCGCGCCGCCAGCTGCGCGACGAGCTGCTGCGGGCCGCGCGCACGCGCCGCGGGGTGCCGGAGGGGAGCGGCCGGGTGTTCGTGAACGAGCGCCTGACGCGCCCCAACCGCCAGCTGTTCCACCGGGCGCGCGAGGAGTGCCGCGCCCGCCAGTGGAGGTACTGCTGGACGAGGCGGGGACGTGTCTTCGTCCGCAGGAGTGATGGCGCGCAGGTTTTCCAGTTGCGCGCGCCCGACGATCTCGTGAGAGTGTTAGGAGCTCCGCCCATATGACTCTTTGGATCCTGGAATTGTAATATCGAAATGGTTAGTTTCATGTTCCTTATCGGGTTTGATCTGTGTATGTCTTCTTTTTATTTAGTATTACTCACCTATATAATATTATGCAGACCTTGTAAATGTCTGAAACTGCCCTTTTTTAGTTTATGTTATTGTTGTGGATTGTTGAAGTCCTCATTGAATAAAACTCATATGGTATGCTTTTACTGGTCACTTTGTGTCAATATATTTATAGAAATTGATATGTACACACATAATTACAATAATAGTATGATGATAATGATGATACACATAATATTGACTGCTACCTTTGAAATGCGTGATATTAACATAATTAATACTACAAATAATATTGTAATACAATGGTGTTTATATAATTCAACACTAATACAGGCCTTGGGTTAAACAATCTTAGAATAGGTCTATTCAATGCGGGCTCATTGTGTACGAGGCATGACGAGTTTATGGTGGCGATGGAGGAACTGAACCCAGACGTGATGGCCATAAATGAGACGTGGCTCAGAGTAGGGGAAGAAGATAGGGCACCTAAAGTGTCAGGTTATCGGCTCAAACATACTCCAAGACCTGTTCAAGTGAGAGGGGGCCGCGGGGGTGGTGTTGGGTTTTATGTGCGCAAGGGCTTATACATAAGAGCATGTCCTCATCCTGGCACCCCGACTACTGTTGAACAGATGTGGATCTCTTTACATCTAAATAATAAAAAGATAATTGTTGGCACAGCCTACAGACCTCCATGGCAGGACGTTAGTGTATTCCTGGACGCCATAGCTGAATCGATTGCCTCCTGTGCAGAATGTGACGGATTGGTGCTTCTCGGCGACTTTAATATCAACTTACTAGACAACACAAAATTCAATTAAGTTCTGGATTAATTATATTTTTATGGAGTTATACACATAATAAATTCGCAACACACAATCAATCAACTATTTGTGTAATACTGAGCCGTAGACAAGCAATCTAAACCTCAGGCATGTCTGAAGGGAGCGTTCTGCGGTCCATTATAAGCTAAGCCTATAACACAAGTTACTCCTCCATCGGTCCATTATAAACGGTGTTTTGCTAGAATAGATTGAATTTGGAAATCAAATTATAATGGAAACCCAATCTCAGCTGTGATGATTTCTAACCCCGTATTATGTGAGAGTTTTCGATCAAACTCCTTAAGCACCTGGCCACTATAAAACTTTTTTCTTTTTATTCGACCAATAAATATTGATTGTCATTTATTTCAATCACAACCCCTTCTGGCAACGTTTAAAAAAACAAATTCGTAAAGTTCCTTTTTTAAAAGTTCATAATTTGTAACATGAACACACCCAGAACACAGAACGTTGTTTGAATTTAATAAATAGCTGGCACAATAGACTGTAATCGTCCAAATGTGAAACTAAATACAGTGGAAGGCAAGATTAGGGAGTAAGTAGCAAATGAGTTTATAGCGTGATACCCAACCTCCGCGGTGTAAGGTTAAGCTTGAGTTGTTTGTTTGGCGTGTAATTAAAAAATAAATTATACTTACATTATGGAAAACCTTGGGGGAGGCCTTTGTCCAGCAGTGGACGTCATTTGGCTGAAACGAACGAACGAACGAACTTACATTATAATGTGTTGACGTGTTATTTGTTTTTTTTTAATCAATTTTAATACATATTTAATTTCTTACTGTTAAAGTTCTTATCGTGTATTTACTAAACACTGGCTCAATTAACTTCCTTTACAATGTTAAGTGCTTTTTGTTTTTTTTTCTAGGGGCATTATTTGCTGTAACATTATTATTAATTTTTGAAAAGTACTGATGGAAAGAAATATAGAACCTTTACTAACGTCTTATTAGTATTTAATTAAAAAATTAAGAACAATTTTGTTGCATTTAATAAAATGTTAAATTCAGTAAGGGGAGCATAATGACGCAACTTTTCAAAGGTCCCTCCCCTCATAAATTACTAACACATCATCTTTACACGAAGTTTAATTAAAAAATCTCAATCATTTTTTTATTTAAATTACAGAGGAAAAAGACTAAAACTGTAACTTTTAAGGGAAATTGTTTAAGGGAAAAGGGAAATTAATCTTTCGGTTAATTAGGAAAGTTGGTCGGACGCTGCGACGGGGTATTCGCGACCGATAAATCAAGGTGTTGGCTTTACAAATGAAAAGAATATAGAAGCAGCTCTTCTAACAAATATCTTGGTATCTATTTAGTAGTAAAAAATGTCTGAGTTCTGAGGTACTACCTAACAGATCAAACTTAAAAAAATGTTTTTCAAGAGTTTAGTGCGAAGCTCATGGCAGAATGTGAAGCTATTTTCAACTCATTATCAGCGTGCTAAGGCAAGGGACTCCTTATAGTACGCCATTATTTCAGGGGTGTCCTTGTGATTGGAAAACTAGATTGACTATTGATTCTGCAACAGATATCAAAAATAAAAATAAATAAATATCTGGTGGTACTTATGAACCTCTTGCTCACTCTGCCTACATTTTTTTCTTTGGTCTATTATTTTCGTCTACTTCTGAATTACCTCATTCCATATTTAATCCTTTAACGAGATTCCAAGATTTCGACTTGAATTCGAAATTTCGCATTAATTGGTAACCGTGGCTTTCCCTGCTCCAAGCTCTACGCCGACTCCGCATGACTGAACATGGCCCCAGTTTTTCACTTCTACGTTTCTTTTGTTCTCTACTCAGCTCAACCAGTCCAAAGCAACCATTCTTTGCTTTTAAGACTTCAATATTTTAGAGCACCCTTATCGATATTTCAGCTGCCAAAGCGTAGGGCGCGAAACCCTGATGTTAGGGGGTACGATAAGACATCGCTTTCCCACTGTTAGTTTTTACGATAAATCACAACCTTTGTTACGAACAGTGACCGATCGTGATAGTGGAGAGAAATGTTCGGGGTGCGTTTAGGAAGATGCATGTCGGGGGAGGCTGTCAAAATATTATTTCTTGTGTCAAATGGAAGGTTACGTGGCGATTTGTATTACTAATCTTCTATATTGAAAATTGAATTTTCATGTGATATCAGTATTAATAAATTAGATAAGCTCGGTATATGATAAATCGCATTTGCACCCCTTGATTGAGATTGTTATCAAGCAAAAAAAATTACAATATTAAGAATCACGTATGCCCTTGACTGCTTCCAAAGCGCATCAAGTTATCGCTTGTATTCCATCGAAATGAGGGCGGTCGCAAGTCCAATACTTAATATTATCATGTATGACGTGTGTGTCTACCGATTGCTAGAATATTGAGGCCAATAAAAGCTAAATATAAAGGTCGTGCCCAGGTCCCAAACGTTCTATAAAAATAGCTCGTGCCGTTTCTAGATTCATGTAACGTAAAGCACAAACATACGATTTCGAACTTATTATTCTAAATGCCTCGTATTGCCAAAATGGACTAAGTAGCAATATTCGAAATGAAATACTCAAGACAATTTTCTTTAGGTTATAGTAAGAAACACAATAAAGCTGTGACTACACCTTCCTTTTTATCGAATACAAAATTAACTACCTATTCCATACTATGTAATACATTTTCCTTATCGTTATTTTCAGTCAACTACTTATTGAACATAGGCTTCCAAACGTCATTTTTCATGACTATAATATACCTAGGCGTATTGTCGTTTCCAAACGGCATAGTAGATAATTATTATGATTTATTTGATGATTAGGTAATATGATTAATAATAATAATAAATTAAATTAATAATATAATTAAAAGATAGATATTCAAATTTTAATCTTAATGATGAGATTTAGAAATAAACACAAACCACTCCTTTGCGTCGCGAAGTCGGGTGAAAACTAGATGGCTCTATGTGTTGTTCAAGGAAAAAATAAATCTCATATTACAACGATTATAAAAGTTATAATATTTCATTAAGTTTCAATTTTTTCTATTGACATTTCTGAACACAGTGCGCTCGTGTAGACAATTATGTAATTGGAAAGTGACCCCAGTTTAACGGATTGCTGGCTAAGCCGAGGGTGCAGCCAAAAGATAGCAGCCAGCTCATTCAAGTGGCTAACTAGCTTATAGTGACATTTTAGTAACTCGTTATGGTAAATTTCACTTCTAATTTAGTATCTATTGGAGTTATAGTAAGTTCAATTATTCGCAAACGGTTTGCTGTGAAACGAAAAATAAGAGGTAAAATACGCAGGCAAAGCCATGAGAAAAACATTTTAAGTTTTCTATAATATGAAAACACGTACCTACTTAAGTATGTGCTTTTTATAATCGTCGAATATTCTAATATCTTCACAATCAAGAGTGAGGTTACCTATTTAAAAACTATAGCATAATTACCTAATGATTCAATTATAACAGTTATAAAATATATTCAAAAGTTCTTATACTTAATTCAAATTTTTCTCTAGTAGGTACTCTCGATTGTCCATAGTATTAACTAAAGTGTAAAAAGGTGCTCATAAACTAAGGCGCCTAAAATATTTATATTTATTGTGCTTGGTAAATTGTTGTTTCCCCGGCTGTGGCGCAGGGGACGCCTCTTGCAAGTCCACCCGAGGACGCAACACTTCACACGTTGACGTTTCCCGGCACGTGAAGGGAATCCCGCAGCTTCCCAGGGTAGCTACAATTGTAACTGACATTGGGGTGGCGCTGTATTATTTAGCAATTTTCTACTCGTCTGATTTTGATAAGTCCCGCCATTTTGCCAATGCATCCGCCGTTATCAGGTTTACACGTCGTTATTTCGGATGAATGATTAATAATGTGAGTAGGTTTTAAGTTTAAGACCTCCATTATTAGCAGTAACGGAAAATGTTTAAATTTTAATTTAGCACCGTACTTATTTAATAGCAACTGCTTATGTTTACAATTTGGTATCAATAATATACCAACATAAAAATATGCTTAAAACATCGAGGATACAGAACTCTTCTTAAATCTGTCCCCAACAATCTGTGTCAACAAGTCCTAGCAGTAGGTAA